AAAAAAGATAAAAAATAAATAAAAACAATGAAAAAATTCATGCATACATAGAAATTCTTTTATAAAAAGAAAAGTTTTTGCGAATTTGAGATTACACAGAGTTTAAGATGAAATCATATAAACACATATACATTTGTACAATAAGCATACATAAGATTAACTATTGTAATCTACGATGGGATAAACTCTTATGATATATAATATGTAAACTCCTATAATATAAAGATGTCTGTGAATCTAGGGACACAAATAACGTGTACCTACTTATAATATACATGCACGTTCTGATACGTAATATGAAATGTTATTTGTAGATTTTTACAATAAAAAATTCTATTAATAAAGCAGAATATGTTAAGTATACTACAACCAGTTTTGCAATACTCAGACTCCAGCAGCCAGATCCGATTTTATAGAGAGGTTTAATAGGATTAATGCGTTACATCAGTTACAAAAGGTTATAAGGCAGTTACATTATAACTGTACATGATGACACAATGAAAATAATTCCCATAAAAAACGTTAATTTACGGTGGAGAAATGTAGGTAAAATTATATAACCAGTATTTAATAAAATTGATCATATTGAGAGTCCTCAAAAATTATGTTATTTTGATTGTATTGTTGCATTTGTACATTCCCTATTAAAGATATTTTTCAACAGTATATCATGCACTATTTTGACCCTTTAAAATATTTTGAGCATTTGTTGAGTTTGAGCAAAATAATAGAAGTATGATGAAAATTTGGGTTGAAAAATTTTAATTTAATTAAAAACACACATGTTTAATAGCATACAACTTTGTTTTTATACCAATAATTTCCTTTCATTATCAAAAAAAAAACTTGAAATACTTCAGTTTTACAGCAACAGTTTTATAAAATTTGAAAAATTGTGGTATCTAAAATTTTCTAATTTGCACGTAGTTATGTGCATATGTATACTTATGTTATGTATGTATTTTGGTTTATAATAAATTTCTATGAATTCTCGTTTTCTTAAACTTTTATTTTATATTAAAAAACTAACTCTATTCATTAAATTTATCACAAAATATTACCAACATCTTAGTAATTAATATGAACGGGTTACTGAACCATTTTACATGTTGCTGTAGCAGTTAAATATTGCATAAATAACAGCAGTATAATAATGAAACATTTAAAATAAAGAAAACAAACTTTTTTAAAATATTTTCGGAAATTTATTTAGAAAAAAATATGTTCAGTTATTCAATTCCACGTGTTTATTTATATTATTTTTCTATTGCAACCTCCTTTACATCTATTAATTTAAAAAAAAAACTAAATATTTTTTCACAAAAATGTTCGGATCAGTTCTTGAGCTTATAATTAAATATGGAAGAAAGATTTTCAGATTTCGACAATATATCAAATGAAATAACACTATTTGAAAATCCTTTTACATTTGACGTCGATGTAGCATTTCCAGATATACAGCTTGAGCTTTGCCAATTACAAAGTACCAATAGCTTGAAAGTAAGTTTCAATAAAAAAACATTGGTAGAGTTTTATAAAGGACTATCGAAACAAGATTTTCCAAACCTTAGAATTTTTTTATCAAAAGTGTTTTCAATTTTTGGCAGCTCATACATATGTGAACAAACTTACTCAAAAATGAAAAATGCAAAACCTAACAGCAGAAATAAACTTTCAGTTAATCATTTGCAGGACATTTTAAGAATTTTAACGTCAAAAATAGAACAAAACATTACAAAACTGGCATCTACCATGTAAGCACATTCATCGCACCATATTTAATATATGTAAATATATTTTTGATTTAATTTTTTAAATGTTTTCATTGATAATAAAATACAATAAATTCCAATTTTTATATTATTGGGATTTATACTTTTTAATTTTGAAAAAAAATGAATTAAAATAATTATTCATTAAAATACGCTTAATTTCTTACTTTTGTATTATTGTTTTTTTATATAGTACTTTTTAATTGGCCTTTTTTTTTAAAAAATTATCCCGCCATATCTTGTAAATTTTATTTTTTGGCCCAAGTAAAAATAAGTTTGGGCATCACTGATTTAAAGTATAGTTAGAACTGTACGTGTGGTGTACCTTGTTGTTTACATATTCCAATTAATATACATAAATACATATACACATATTATTTAAGTAACAATAGCCGCTATAGTGAAAAAAAAATATAAAAAAAATGGAACAAATAAAATTTAAATATGTCAAAAATCCTTTTAAAGAAAATAAGAAAAAATCGTACCAAAATAACCATTTTTGAAATATCCTTAAGTGAAGCATTTCTTATCAAAATCTACAGTCAATTTTTTAAATAGATATAATATGTATGTAGATTACTCGAATAAATAAATGTCAAAATAACTAGGTAACCCGATTATCCTAAATATTAAATTTCGATGACACAAGATATATCACCAAAAAAATGTAATAAAATCAGCAAAGAAGAAGTAATAAAATAAGTATTTTGATTGACTTATGTCTATCTGTGCATTATAATACATATTGGATTATAATTAGGTAACAGATAAAACCAAAATTATGTATATAACACACTCAAGTATAAATCATATTTGTACGTAGCTACCTACTATTAATTCACAAAGAACATTTTAAACTATGAATGTATTTATGTATTTATTTAATGTACATATGCATTGTTAAGGAAAAGCACTACGATAAAATCTGAAATATTTGAATATTTAACCAAAAAAATTAATTATATTTACCATTTAAAATTTCACATCAATTTTTATTCAACTAGTCTGATAGTATGTTTTTTATTGTAAGCAAATATTAGTGTTTCAATGTTGTTATACTGTCAATGACCGTCTCTGATTATTAAAATATGAATAGCAGGTGATTCGGTTATTTTTATCAAATTATAATATTTTTTTGCAATTTCACAAAAAAATGGTAAAAAAAAAACAATTTGGGAGCATAAAAAAATACAAATAAATCTTTTTAATTTATCTCAAACTTATTTTTTAGTAAGATTTATTCAATTTTGCATTTCTTTGGAACTTATTAATACATAATTTCGTATTTTATTTTACTCTATAGTTTTTGAAAAAATTTCAATAATAATAAAAAGAATTATTTCCAATATTGAAATTTTCTAATAAACTCAAATTTACTAAGACTAGATATACTTCTGTTTTAATTTAATGTTGCTAAACCTGATTAAAAATAAAGTAACAAAATATTGGAATTTTCAGAATAATTTTTTTTCCAATTTAATTTTGTTTGTAAAAACAAATTTTTATAAATGCTAAAAAAGTAAACGCCACCCAAAAAAGTTCATATTTTTGTTATCACCACACATACAAACCGCAAAATCTATTATATTATGTTATATTGACATTAAAAAAAACAACAAGAAAATAGGAAAACCGATCTGTGCAGAAAACAATAAATTTGTGAATTTTGTTTTCAACTTTTTCACTTATAAAAAACTTTTATTTACCGTAAATTATATTTAAAAATGATTTTGCGTTATTTTTATTATATAAATTTATAAAAAAATTTTAATATTTTACGTTTTATGACAGTAAAAAAGCGTCAGAAAAATAAATACAAACAAAACCCGATTTTACTACTTTTTTCACTACCTTATAATATTTCTTTTGTAGCTGACATTATTTGACAGTTTGAAAAATGTCATTTCATTATATACGAGAAGAGCGACAGTATTCAACCATTTCTATTCTTATCGTTCGCTTCTTGTTGAAATTATATTGTATGTATGTATTATTGTAATATGTATAAATTTGGGTTTTGATTTCAAAACTTCAAAACTACAATACTACATTTTAACTTACACAAAATGCTCTTGATAGATGAATATTTTTACAATGTTATAAAATCATGGATATATAAAAGATTGACGGTTCGTGGCCACTTCGCCCAAAAATACTATTCAGCTTATTTGATTTTGATATGCAGATTGGAAGTTTTGTGGAAAGTGACGAAGTAAAGGAAGTGAAAATATGAAAATGAAATAGGCTGATTGAGGTTTTTGTGAGAAGACGATGAAGACCAAACACAACTGACATGTTAAGAATTGAAAAAATTTTATATAACTTGTTAATGTGCTTTTCATGATTTTCAAGGTACATGATTACTTAACACAAAAACACAATACGAGTATAGCCTATTCGGTTTATGATTGCTCCCACAAAAACACCATTCAGCCTATTTAATTTTAATAGTCTGAATCAGGGCTGACAGAAATACAAAAAATAGAAAAAAGAATGCAATTTTTTTTTCGAAATATTTAATTGATATTGGTGTATTTTTTCAAATTTGAGATAATGTACATTTGATATTAACGAGTTTGCTAATTTTGTATTACATATCGCCCAAAATGCATACTTCTGATATAATCACATATGTATCTAAATATTTTTCATGTGTATACTGTATAAATTAAACTTATATGCTTCATAATTCATAAAAAATATTTCATAATTCTTTTTAGGTATGTATGTGATTTTAGTTTTATAAGGAAATATTTTCACATTGCTAGTAAGAAAATATATTTAATCAAAATTATAGTTAAAATTTGGTATGTTGTTCAGAAAACTGCGAATTTCATGTTAGTATAAAAATTTTTAGGTTTTAGTAAACTTTTCATATAGAAAACTCGAAATGAAAATAGGTAAAAATCATAATTTTTCTAAAAAGACAACAAAAAAAAATTATTCTTCAGAAATGTCATTTCGCTATAAACACATGCAATTTTACAAATTCATTCACAAAAGAAGCGGGGTTTTTTGTAATGTCAAGGTCTGAATGGTGCTTTTGTGGGAAGTGATCATAAAACGGTTAGCTTGGTTTTTTGAAGAATTGTAAATCCCTAGTCAAATCCAAATCTATTTGGAAATTTTCTTGCCAACACATTGCTGAAATCTGTCATTAGCATTTTACTCTGGCAATGACGTGTGTGTCCAATTTTGATTTAATTTAAAGTTATTCAAGTGAAGTAAACAAACCGCCTGTTTTTTTTTATATATTTTCTTATTATGCGAGTTACAAAAAAATTAAAATATTTTATTGAAAAAGAAGGTAATCAGAAACGAAATGTCTGAAAAGAAAGTGTCTGTAAGCGATAGAATAAATAAATTAAACAACTTTCGTTCCAATACACGAACTTCGGGGCCGTTACAGAAACGTTTACATGATTCCAATGGAATTTTTTTAAATAAAAAGATAGGAAGTAGTGAAAGTGATTTAAACACAGCTTTTTTAATTAATTCACCATTATCGAAGCAAACACCTCCAATATCGAAATTCAAATCTAAGTCTTCTACTGCAATAAACGCCTGTTACACGCCGTCTTCGCTGTACCGATTAGCTAATACGACACCTACAACATTGCGAACCCCACGTAAGTTTATCGGCACGCCAAAAAGGCAAATTTCTAGTTCAAAGAAAAGCGAGGAAAATGATATTGATAAAACACCAGAATGTTTCTCAAAAGTTAAAATTTATTCAGCACGAAAATTTGCAAATTTATCAGACGAAGAGAATAAAGCCTCAAATAAGGAAAGTGAAATAAGTAATTTAAAAGTTGCTGTAAGAGTTCGTCCTTTAAATACACAAGAATGCCTAAATCGTTCAGTTTCAAATATTGTAACAGTAAAAGATGAGGAAATTATAATTCATGGGAATCTTTCAAGTGATAGTGCTTTTGGAACAAAACATAGTTTCTTTTATGATAAAATATTTTGGTCATGTAACGCTGATGATCCAAATTATGCAGATCAAAGTTGTGTATTTAATGGAACTGGTCTTCCTTTGATAGAAACAGTTTTCCAGGGATATAATGCTTGTCTTTTCGCTTATGGACAGACAGGTTCTGGTAAAAGTTATAGTATGATGGGGATTGAAAATGATGAAGGCGAAGATACTAATGCTAGTGTTGATGTTGGAATAATTCCACGATTTTGTAAGGAAGTATTTAACCACATTAATCGCGAAAAAAATAAATTGCGAGCTGAAGTTGAGATAAGTTATTTTGAGATATATAATGAAAAAATTCATGACTTGCTCAGTGTTGCTTCGATATCCAATAAAACGGTCGATTGTGGCACAGGCAACTATGTTCAAAAAAATGCGCTTAAAGTTAGGGAACATCCTATCTGGGGTCCTTACGTTGTCGATTTAAGTTCACATCCAGTTGATAACTACACTGCTCTTCGAAACTGGTTAGCTCTTGGAAATAGTCAAAGAGCTACTGCAGCTACTGGAATGAATGATAAAAGTTCTAGATCGCATTCAATTTTCAATATAATTCTAAATTTATCTGAAATCGAAACTACCAATGAAAAAAACAAAATAAAGCAAACAAAAAGAAGTAAAATCAGTTTTGTTGATTTGGCTGGATCGGAAAGAATCAGTAATACATCAGCTAATGGTGACAGAATAAGAGAAGGTGTAAGTATAAACAAAAGTCTTTTAACTTTAGGAAAAGTTATAGCTGCTCTGGCGGAGTCTAAAAAGGGGTTAAACTTCGTTCCTTATCGAGAATCAATTTTAACATGGCTTTTGAGAGAAAATCTTGGTGGGAATTCCAAAACAGTTATGTTAGCAACCATTTCTCCGGCTAACATACATTTAGAGGAAACATTAGCAACTCTTAGATATGCCTGTCAAGCTCGTTCAATTGTAAATCGTGTGAAAATTAATGAAGATCCACATGATAAAGAAATTCGCGAATTACGAGCAGAAATTGAACGCCTTCAAACCTTACGACAAGAATATGAAAGGCAAAAAAAACTTTCGTCAAACGAAAATTTACCTCCTCGAAAAATTATAATAGAAACATCTGTGGACGATTCTGAAATAGAAATGTTACGACAACAATTATCAGAAACAGAAAAACAATTAGCAAAAGCTGAAAAATCATGGATGGAAAGACTAAAAGAGGCCGAAGATCTTCGAAAGTCTGAAGTTAGAATACTAAAAAGAAAAGGTTTAGCAATTGAGTTATCAAGAGAAAACAAGGAAGCTTGTTTAATTAATTTGGCAGCTGATCCAATATTATCAGGCACCTTATTTTATATTTTGCCACCTGGAAAGGTTCTTATAGGACGTTCGGCACCTTCAGCCTTCACACAGCCTGATATAGTATTAGACGGTCCTCTGGTAGCTTTTGAGCATTGTTCAATTAGAAATGAAGAAGGTAATCTATATGTTATACCAGAAAATCCTGATTTTGAAACTTATTTAAATGGAGAATTGGTTCAATATATAAAGCAAATGTATCATGGAGATAGATTAAGTATCGGTGGATCTCATTACTTTCGTATATCTAACCCATTTTGTGTAAATAGGAATGAAAATGTTACCGTTGATTATCAATTAGCTTATCAAGAGGTTTTGCAAAAGCAGGAAGAGAAATTACGCAAAGAAATTGAAAAAGAGAAAAAAGCTGCACTGGATCAAATTGAAATGGAACGTTTAATAAATGAAAAAGCACTGAAAGAGCAAGTGGAAAAAATTGAGCTGGAGAAGGTAAAACTGATATGTACTAAAGAACTCCTAGAAAGTGAAAAAAAAGCTTTTGAGCAAGAACAGTGTGATAAAAAATATGAGTATACTCCTTTTAAATCAACTATCTTAGATGAAATTAGAAAAATAATGGAACGACCAACTGCAGATAGTTTGCATGAAATTCAATTAAAAGTAAAGGAAGCTACAAGACGTTGTCGAGATATAGGCTTGAGATATGATTTTAGACAGTTTCAAGTTTTAGATGAATTCGGAATATTTCGCGCTGTAATTTCAATAATTGATAAAGACAATTTAAGAAAAGCTGAATGGCCCACAGCAAGACTTGATGTTTGGCTAGATATCATGCGCCAGGATGCAAGTCCTGAAGCTGATAATGTATTTAAGCATGTTGATATTGAATGGATCCCATTAGATGAAAATTTTGATGAAAAATATAATGACTCAATAAATTCCAGTAAAATTTCATTAAATTTAAGTGCGGTCAAGGAGGCTTTGTTTAAAGAGTCAAGTAATAAAAAGATATCGAAAATGTTATTAAAAGAACATAATAAAGAAAATTTAATTAATTTGGAGAACATAAATGATTCATTTTCTTCAAATAAAAATGTTCGGAAAACTTTGACTTATGATAATGACGACACTGAAAGATCATTAAAATCGACTTGTATTGATATAGAACAAAAATTTAGTTCAAATGCTTATATGTATTTATCAGATATGCAAAGATCAACTTTAAAATTAAAAAAATTATGTGAACGAGCAGAATCTAAAGATAATTATGATAAAAAGAAACAAACTTTTGACCATTTTAAACGATCTATTGATAAAATAGAAAACATAATATATGATCTAAAAGCAACTCTTACTGAACAAAAACTATCTATCTCACCAACAAAGACTCCAAAATCCGTTCGATTTTTGTTAGACTAAATTAAGATGAATTATGTATACATATATGTATGTATATTTATACATGAAATGATTCGGTAAGCTTTTGAAAATACTGTTAAGCTTTTAAAATGTTTTTGTGATAATGATTTTAGATTTATTCTTGCAGATGGTTCCGTTTTCGGGAGCAGTCAAAGTTTGTTGAATAATGTCATAAGAGTATTAAAAAAATGCATGTTATAAAAACCAATGATTGACGAAATTTTCAATCTGTTATTACTTTATCAGTATGTACACATTTTGTAACAAGTGAATGATATTTTTAATACTTTGCATTAAATAAAAGTTTAAACTTGTTTTAAATTTACCCATAATTTAATTTAAAGTAGTTTAAGTTATAAAAGTTTTTCTTTTTAAACTTTTTAAATTTTGAGGTTTGTATATCTATTAAAATGCTCATTTATAGATGAATTTTATTGTTTTATGATGTTCAAATGTTTTATTGTTTTTAATACAAATTTTATTGTACAATTAATAATTCAACTAAACTAGTAGAATAGACTTTAGGCCTAAATTTATTTTGGAAAAAAGTACTTAACATTTAACTGAATATAAAATAATTTATTTAAATAACAAAAGTGAAAATCGAAAATTTAAATCGAAAAACAGATAATTATGGCACATAATTAAAGTACGGCCACTGAAATCGAATTTTGAGCATTTCATTTTTTAGCCAAAATGGAATTTGTCCTAGTTTTATTGATTTCAGAGTTGTGAAAATCAGGAACATTTTCCAACATGTGGGTACAATTAATTTATACACCGCAATTTTGTTTTTGTCGCTTTCAAATTTTAAATTATAATATATTAAAATTGCAATTTTTCAATATTAATTTTAGGTAAAAATTCAAATGTAAGTAGCAAGTTCACAGGTAATAAATTCAGCGTAAGGAAGTTCATATCTTGACTCCCAACAGCAATATGTATGAATGTTCTAATATAATACAGACTCTTCACAAAACTAAAAAAAAAACTTCCTTATAATTTTTTTGTTAATTTTTTTTTATTTTTAAACATCAACAGTCACTGTAATACAATGTTTCATCATTTTTTTTTCGTTTTGTTTAATTTGGATTTTTTTTCATATTACTGGTCTTTTCTTAACATTTATCTCAAAGTAAATTTTATATAATATGTATTTGTTAAGATTGTACTAATAAATAAGTTTTTACAAATTAAATCAGAAAAATATATACATGAGTTAAAATAAACTAATACAAATACATTTCTTTTTTTTATACATATTATATTTTATGAGAATTGTTTGTTTTATCTAACTTAAAATCATAGATAATTCGTTATACATAAGTGTCCTATGATAATTACTATTATTAAATGTAACAATAAAAATGTAAAAGGAAATAATTATTAAAAAATAAACGATTTTATAATAGTTAAAGTAAGTTTCGATTTTGATTAAAATATGCTGATGAAGGAAGATAAATTTATGCTATAAAATTTTTATAAATGCAATTAATTTATGTAGAAAATTTCAATAAAAAAATTAAAATAAATTTTATGAAATATGAAAATTTATTTAAAAAAATTTTAGATAAATTTTTTATAGTTTATTGGAGAAAATTTTAAATAATTAATGTAATGTCGGTTTCAGTTTGGTTATTAAAATAATTTCAAATTAACGAAATTCGAAGAAAAATAAAATTTCATTTAAATTAAAAATTTTGAATTAGAAGAACGAACGAGTATTTAATTATTATAAGCAAATATATAAATTTTTGAGATTCTAAATTTGAATAAAACACATAAGGTATGACACTTTTTATATTGAAGTTATTTATAGATTTATTTTGCATATTAGCTACACTTAATTAGCATTGTGCATATTAGCTACATAATAGTTAATAAATATAATATAATAAACTTTTTTTTTAAATTTTGTCAAAATTATGATTTGTTTAATGTAAAATTATTGCTTCATATAAAAGAAATAAATTAGTAAAAATAATTTAAGTTGTTGTATATTACTTTGTTTTTAAATTAAAAATTAATATGAGACATAGTATTTCGTTAAGACACCCTGTATGTATATTAATTTGTGAAATATACAATGAAATGAAAAAACTTTTTTATATTTTATTTTTATTATTTAGTGTTTACGCTATATTAATAAGATTCAATAGATTTGAATAGGGTAAAATAACAAAAATAAATCTGATAGGTATATATTCATATACATATATATTATATATATTATATATATATATATATATATATATATATATATATATATATATATGTGATATACATAATACATATATTATATACAAACATGTATATATGTATGTATATATGTATAATTGTATTAAATTTTTTTTCCAAGTATAAAAATTATGTTTGTTTTTTTTTTTTTATAATATATATTTATATATATATATATATATATAAATACATAATAATAAAAAAAATATATATAATAATTTACATTAGTGGTTAAAACGTGTGATTTTATGATTAAAATATAATAAAGGTACATCTGTTTTTTTTCATTTTTTATTTTCTTTTTGTTTTTGTTATAGAAATATTTCCTTCTTTAATAAATTTTCTTTATATTTAACGTACATTAATTTGTAATTTTGGTATTTATATTAAGAGATAGATATTAAATAATTTTTCTTTTCAGAATGTTAAAAATTCTGACAATATCGTTCTAAAATTATTAATATAGATAATATAGTTACAAAGTTTGTTTAGATTATATTGCGTTATTAAATTTGGTTTGAAAAGAAAAATTAAAATATCAACACATAATCCAATCACCATAATTTACCTTATAAGTTTAAGTTATTATGATGATATATGTAGAAAAAACAAGATTTTATAAATTTAAGAGGCATATGACAGATGACTTGAAGTAGAATCCCGTTAATTAAAATTAGGAAACAAAAATTTTCATCTTTAAGATTTATTATAACTATTTTTTACATAATGAATATTTTGAAAACATATTTTATTGTTTTTTATTGTTAATAATTTAATTTTATTATTAATATTTCCAATGTTAACATTTCAAATTTTCTTATTTGATAAAAATGTTTTTTTTTATTTAAAATTTGATTGCTTTTATTGACTAAATAATTCATTAATATTTCTTTAAACTAAAAATTTGATTTCTTTATACAAGATATATTTAATATAAATTAGTATTTTGTGCATTCAATTTATATTTAAATTTACTTATTAAAAATTTAAAAATATTTTGGTCATTGAAATTTTTAAAATACAAATTGCAAGAGAAATAAAAGCATTTAAAAATTTCTTTTTTATTTATTTGAATGTCGTTTGCTACCGATATATTGAATTAATAAAGTATTGTATAAATTTTTTTATACATAAGGTTTATATTTTAATAATTTTAATCAAATGACAAGCTCAATAGAATTACTAACTTCAGTTTAATATTTTTGTTTGTAAACTTAGAATTGAATAATTTTGAATATAAACAATAATGGCTTCAGTTTTCTTTCTTTTTTAAATTAGTTTTACATAATATATATGTAGTTTCTGTATGTATACATATAAAATATAAAAATATTTTTAAAATTAAAGTATATTTGAAGCAATTATTGTGTTAAGTTCAAGCGCTATCTAGCGATAATGAATAATTATATCTTAAGTTCTTAACATTTATTACATAAATATATGGTATCAAAAAATATTTTACGCAAATTTTAAGAACTTAAAATTAGTTAACAAAAATTTTGTTATAAATTATAATTTGTAAATTATAATTTTACATAATATTTTACATAATAAAATTATAATACGGAATATTATTTAACTGAACGTATGTTTCCCCAATATAAAGTATTTTAAATAATTGAATTATAAAATTAAATCAAAAAATTGATATTATATAAAAACAGGAAATTTTGATCGTTTAATTAAAATTTTCCTTATTTTGGATGTGTGTGGAAGCATTCAACACTTTTAAGATACACAGCCAATTATGGAAAATTAGATTAGATTATATTTTTTTATTATGTTTTTATAACATTTTACATAACGTTCAAGTGTAGATAGTAGTTGAAAGTCATTAAAATTGTTAACAGGAATTCCATAAATATTTTTATAAAAAAACGAAAATATTAATAAACAAACTTATTATCTTTCCATTATACGTATTACTTTACTTTCTCTGTTTTTTTTTTTATAAAAATATATACTCAAATATAATATTATAGTTAGATAGAAGATATAAAAAACTTTGTCCAATAAAGTTATTATTACAACTATAAATATCAATTATTACTTAAATTATACAACCTTATTACTACGGCAAAAAAAAAACTTAAATAATATGTGTACATATATAAACACTTCAAATTAACGAACAAAATAACATATTAATAGTAAAATAATATTTTAATATTTTTTTATTTATTAATTGTATGTACATACATTTCGTGTATGATGCAAGTGTGCTTATTTTTATTACTTGGCATTCAAATTGTTTCTTTTTTGTTTCATTTTTTTTTGATTTGCTAAAAGTGTTACTAAATAAAGAATTACTCTTGAAGAATAATTCGATTAATATTTTTAAATAATTGTGTTCTAATGGCACTATTATAGTACATATACGATAATGTTATGCAATAATTTTGATATTAAAAATTAGGAAAATATATGTACATATAACGTATACATACATTCATTCAAATGGATATTTCCGAAACAATATAAAATCAAATTTCAATTAAATTATTGTTTTTTTGACAACAAAAAAAAAGTTAAAATAAAAAATTTTTGTCTTTTAACCTTTACTTGTTTTTAATTTTTTCCTTTTTCTAATTAAATTTTGTTATTTTGTCCTTGACCATTGAATTATTGAAATAAAACTACATACATATATTTTATATATTCTATTTTTTTTTGGGCTAGGTTTTTATACATAGGATATTATCACTATTTTATTTCCATAAAATAATAATAACAACCTATATAATAAATAAACTATATAATTTTATCATTATTTTTTTCCTTTAAATTTATATTTAACATGTATAAATATAATGTTAGCTAAAAAATAGTTAATTGATATATGCTTGTGTACATGTGTAAGATTTTTTTATTTAATATTGAATATATAATGTATATGTAATATTTTTTTAGCAAAGCAATAGGAGGTAAAAAAAACCGGTGTCCTTTTATAAGAAAAAATTTAGTGTGCTTTGTATTCTATTCTTTTTTTTGTTAAATGTTTATTTTTTATCTTACATTTAAAGTTCTTTAACTATGTTAATGCATTTTTAAGATATACATATGTACATATATATTTTGTTTTTGGATTATTGATAACTTGTTAAACGTATATAAATATCGGCATAAATATTATATTATTATAATAATTTAAGTAAAAAATTTATTGTGTTAAAATATGTACGTAATTGATATTTAAATGTACATATTATTATGTCCGTGTGTAATAAATAACATTCATATAATTTCAACGAGTATAAAGAAAAAGATTTATAAGTGTGTTTTCGATAAATTTATTTCAGAATTTAATAACACAGCTATTAAATTTTAAATTAATTAAAAATGAATACCACTTTTTACTATGAATATCGCAGCTGTGATATTTAAGACCGAACGAATATTAACGAAACCCCATCTTAAATTTCACTATATGACTTTTCGATTCATCTTTTTCTATTTTTGAAGATAATTTCTACTGTTCCAAAAATTAAAATTTAATCCCAAATGGAAATCTGAAAAAAATTCAATTAAAAAGTTCTCTAAGGAATGAGACTATTATGAAAAATTTGAATAACACTATAATGAATTAAGCTAAGTTTCTGATGCAAGAATTTTTCAATTACATTTTTTGGAACAGTTTGTATTAGAATAGGGTTCTAATATCAATTTTGTTTTTTGTGGCAAATGGTTAGCTTTAATTATTCATTTTAGAATTTTTTCCATCAAATTTTGTTCAATTAAACTTTGATTAGTTTTTCAAAAGAAATTATTGCGATATAAGCATTTTTTTTAAATTCTGTTATCCAATATTCCAATTTTTTTTTAAATTTAGCCAATTGAATATTTAAAATTTAATTTATTTTTAACTCAGAAATTTATTTTCTTACTAAATGAATTGCACTTAAATTTTGAACTCTTTTCCGTTTTGATAAAATTCAATATTTAATGTTTTGTAAAATGAATCTGTAATTGAAATCTGAAGAACAAAATTATTATGGCGCAAGATTTTTTATGAACATATGTAATTTTAAACTGAATCAAATACATAATATTATTTACATAAATTTTTATTAATTGTATTTTTATTCATTGTTAATTCACTTATTATATTATGTTAATTTATGTTATTATGTTAATTTATTTCTTTTATATCGTTCATTTGTAATTTGAAAGGCAGTTCATCTTCGGTCTGTTTGGTATTTAATTTAAAAAGTGCAAGGAAGAAGTATAAAGAATTAAATTATTAGATTTTATTTTGTGAATTATGAAAAAAAAATTAAATTTTAAAATATTTGTGTGCCTATATTTGTAAAAAAATAATTTTACTTATAATTTAATTTTTGTTAATAACTGGGTCTTTCCATTTACTTTTATTGTTGTTATTATTAATTTAATCATAGTTTTTATATTATGATTATTATTCTTTTTTTTGAGATCATTGAATTCAGTTGCCTTGTGGTTTTCGTAAATTTGTATCATATGCACGTATAACAGCTGACTGTGGAACAACACCACCTTCTTCTTGTGAAAATGCATATCCGTCTGTACACAAAATGTTTGAAAAGATAAATAAAACATTAATTTTTAGTTAGTTTATTTAAATAGATTAATTTAGTGTACATCAATTAGAATATATTAAATATCTATTGTTTGTTAAGTTTTGTTAATAATTTAATTTTAAAAAATTTTTAAATTTCAATTTAATTATTGCGAATTAAAGAGAGGTGCGAATTTTTAGTGTTGTTTTTTTGCATTTTAGTGGAATTTTTTTATGATAATTTTGATAAAAGGATTGAAATACAATATGATTTTAATTGCGAAAACTGCGAAATGATTTTAATTGCGAGAAAATAAATAAATAGAAATTAATTTTTAATTTATATATGATTTTAAAATGAAAAAAATGAAAATTTTTTTTATGAAAAAATTAATATTTTTAAATAAAGAGCAAAAATGATTGAACCATCTTTTTCCAAGTTATCTTGACTTTCTTTTGCACAGCTTAAGTATACATTAAACCTGTTTTTTTTTTTGTAAATTATGATTAATATTAACAGAAGAATCCATGAGTTGAATGGAATTTGAGAATCCATGAGTTGAAATTAGTTGAGCGAATCCCTCTTCTAATCACGTTTTTTTGTCCCATAAGTTCAAAGATTATTTAAAAATCGACTGAAATTGTATTTCATGATCATAAGATATTAAGGTATAAATTGTCTTTTTCTATGTGAATGTTTTAAAAATATACAAATTTTAAAATTATTTATATTTCAGTGAAACTTTTTAATATCAAATTTAATATCTTTTGAGCATTACACTTCAGTCACCGTATATTAAGGGCATCGACGTGTCCCACATACAAAACGCAATTATGTTTTATTACCAAATTTCTTAAATCCTGACCAATTTGTTTTTTCCATATTTTAACATTTTAATCGAGAAATAATTTATTCAGTGAGTTTCAAATTATTTTCTGATTAAATCTAAGGTTATTAAAGCTAAATTTTGATTTTAGATATGACTCATTCAAACACAAATAGAAAGCAAATCCATTTTAAATCGTTTTATTGTAGAGGCCTTGAAATTTTATTTCAATCTACTAGTATATCAGAGGTTTTCAATATTATATACTTTTGTTTAATATATGTATATAACTGATTTCAAGAATTAATTAAGGAAGTATATACTTGAAATATTTGGCAACGGAAAAGCATATACCTAAGCACTTTGCTGTATAAAAACTGCAATGTAAATTAAATTATTTAAGAATTAGGCTCTCATATTATGAAAAATTTATAGAAAAATTTTTGATGCAATAATATAATTTTTATGTCTTTATTTTGATTTAAATTGAATTCCCATGTTGGGCCTTTTATTTAATGTAAATTAATCTTAATGTATTGTACTACTGTAATTGAAAAAATGTAGCAGCTTACGTTTCTGTGCAAAGAAACAATTTCAAACGTAAAAATAACGCAATTCTTTGTGACATGTTTTACGGTTAATAACACCTTTCATTATGTTTAAAATAAGTAAGACACGAAATTTAAAAAAAGTATTGTTTCAATTTCAAAATAGCTATATGTATGGACATTCAATAATACTATAAGAATAAAGGCTACTAGAGTTAGTTAAATATAAATGGATTTTGGATTTAAAACCACAAATATATATTTTTGTATGTGTGTTTAGAGGTCTATTAATTTTTTTGTTTTTTGGTTTATTTTAGAAAATTGTTTGACTAAATTGTTATCGATTTTAGCAATCAGTATAAAGAAAAGGAATGTGTACAATAACATAAGAAAAACTCCTTTTAATAATTTATACCGTTTCGATTATATCAAATACATTTGGATATACTAGGTTTTAAGTTTATTTCCAGGGCAAAGCAATAAAATGTAAAAGGCAAAAATAAAAAAAAATTGTTTTTTTTTTTAAACTATAAAATAATAACGTTCGACAAAGTTCGTTTTCCTCTAAATTCTACTCGTAAGTGTTCTTATTTTTTGTTTTCCTTTTTTTACGTAAATCAAACTTTTCATATGATTTCCTCTTTATGAAATACTTAAATATTAAGTGCAGAAAGTTTCGTGATTAAAAGGAAAACACAACAATTATACATTTATAAATATGTTTACTCAGAGTATATGATGTGTACGTCTTATACACAAACAATTTATTATTTGTCTATAAAAGATACATATGTATATACAATTTAATCGAATAAAGTAATATTAGAAATAATTATTTTCATATGGGGATAAAATTTTCTTAACGGACAAGTGGCCAAAAAATATCATTAAATTCAGGGTTTAATAATACGAACATTGGCATTCTGTTGTCAATGGAAAATTTATTCCGTTGAAGAAATAAAGTTAAGTTACATTTAACAGACAATGTTGTATTAAAAAGTAAATAAAGAAATGCGGCTGCCATCACTTAAATATTTAGAGAGATGTTCTGTATTCTTTTAATGAAGTATGTAAATTTGAAGATTTGTATAATGGGGGTAATAGTGTAGGGCGACCGCATATAAAAATCTATTGTGCCGTTCTTTAAGCGTGGGCCATCCCGTACAACACTCACTGGAGATTCAATCTCTTGTTAAACTCGTGCCCCCTGTGAGAGCGGAAGGGCTCCGAGCTAAGAAGATGTGTTTTAGTCTCATTCCTTGTTATGTGCCTCATTTTCTTCTGTGCCCAAATGGCCTGGCATTCAGCACATCTTAACCCGGTTGCGCCTATCTAATTCATTGAGCCCCTCAAGACAGCTCCATACTACCGCGGAGAGTGTCGAAAACCAATTCAGCACTTCGATGGCAGACTGGCTATCCAACATAATTATTATTTCCTGTTCCAATGGGTAGCCCGAAAAGTCGCATTCCAATCCTTTAGCTGTGCTTCCTTACTACAAAGGGGTAGATCCTTAAATCACATCCGTTGCCACAGCCCAATACGTTCTTATAGTCCCTCTAATGCAGAGGCATACGAGTCTCAATAACGTATGCAAAAACAGACAATTATTTCCGCCAGTTTGTTAACTTCAATTCACAACACTAGCGTCCAATGATATTTGAATTCATTGTTTTTGCAAAATGTTTGCAAACAACGTTTATTAATGATAGAGAAGTGCTTATATTACAATGCAAAGGCATTATCACGTAAAAATTTTATAAAAAAAGTAAAAAAGCAAAATCTTTTCGTTTTTGGTTAAATTAGAAACTTAATGTCTTTATTTTACAAAAAAAATTAATGTCATGTAGTGCGTTTCCAAATATTATTATAGTTTAATATATGAAAAAAAGTCTGTTATAATTAAAGCTGTAAAAGTTACTGTGTTAGTTAGTTTGCTTCTAAATTGTTGTTTTTGTTTAATTTAGTAGGTGTAAATATATATAAAATAAAAAATTATTATTATTTTCTACTTTTTTTATATCATACTTAGTTTCCTTGTTTCTCTTTAATTTTTTTGTGTTATTTTGTTTTATTATTACAATTATTTTTATAGTTGTTTTAAATGAATTTTGTATTGAATTTTTTTTATTTTGTTTCCTTGTTGTTATTATTATTATTATTATTATTACTTTTTTTCTGTTCATTTATTATTTAGAGAAACAATAATATTATTATGTACTCACGGGAAAGTTCTAGTTCCGTGTCAACTCTAGTATTTGTACGACGTGTGAAAACGCTTCGGACATTTCTCAGAAGCCTTGCGGTTTCTGTTAATCTATATATTTTTTTTATTGGCGATGTGGAAAAGAAAAATTGTTTAAAGAAAAATGATTTTTTTTTTTAATATTTCAAAAAGGAATATCAATCATAAATTTATGAGTAGTTAGAGGTAGGTACATGTGTAGGAATTTTTGATTATTACCATTATGAATTGAATTTTTCAATTAATACTTATTAAAACATTGGAATTAAAGGATAAGTTGAAAAGGATATTCAAATACACACAATTATATGTATGTATATAATAATATTAATTTTATATTTTTAATTTTTATTTCATATACTTTTTTTAATTTGAAAAAAAATGGAATATTAAGTTATTGGGACTATAAAGGATTATAGTTTTATATAAATGTTAATTACTTAAGAAATTATAAAAGAAATTTTATACATAAAATTAAAAAAATAAAAATATATAAGAACTATATTAATAAAAAAAATAAAACAGTAAAATCAAAATCAAATAATAATAAATGCTTTTATTCAATAATCTCTTCACATACTCATATTTTTATATTTTTCGAACATAATAATATATAAATATGAAATTACATACGTTTATAAAACAACATAAATATACGAGTATAACAATTATATACACAACAATAGAAAATAATCTATAAAAATTTAACAATTAAGCCGATATAATTGTTAAATTTTTTAATCTCTTTTTAATAGTCATTATTAACTCTAAATTCATATAGAGTATTTTAATATTTTTATAGAAATGAAAAATAAAATAAATTTAGAAATTAATTAAATTGTTTAGTATCATTACACAAAAAAAGGAAAACTATTCAAATTAAAATTTAAACTACAATTTTCTTTAGATTTTTAATAATTTAATTTTTTTTTTTAAACAACATTGACATTTTTAAAAATACAAAGAAATAAATTAAATTACAGTAATACAGTGTCTATACATAATTCATTTGTAGTTGCAGTTATATATTTGCATAATTGAGTAGGTGTCATTGTAGTTTTGATATAGTTTTTTAGTATGTATTTAGGTGGGCAAAAAAAAAATATTTCATTAAGAGTACATTTGTGAAGAAAACATTAATATAATTTAATACAGCAAAAAAAAAACAATAATATGAATATGGAAGCGAATAAATTTTTCATTGCAAATGTGCCATATAATTTGAAAATGTTTCTTATTATTCTATAAGTAGCTATTTATTATTTAAATTTTATTTACAAATAGGATTTGTGAATATTATTATATTATTAATATTGTTTGTGAATATTATTGCGTATTTAAATTTGAAAAAACAAATATTTCATAGTTCACCAAAAAATATGCAATATTTTCAGTTTAACAACTAAGGACATGGTATCAACCTATTTTTTTAGGTTACTCTTAACCTTGTTATAAATTTGTTATTCAATATTATAATTAGGGTATGCAATAAAACGAATATAATTCTTTAATTTTTTTCCGGCATACAACATACTCTTTAAAGTAAATAAAACTGTTCTCGATTAAAAAAAAAATAAATTCAGTTTTTCCAATTAATGAAGAGATTAATTTTTATAATTCGGCATTGCTATTTCCATATTAGTTCTAAATTAGGAGAGAGGTAAAGCTATTTAAAATTTTTCAATTTGAAAGTAATGTTTTAATTGAAACATAAAAATATTTAGCAGCATGAGAAATACAAAAAATAAAAATAAATATTAAAAAGGTGAGGTGATATGAAATCGTGCGAATGTTTTGTAATATGCATTGAAGTAATGTGTGAAACGCTTTTATATGTAAATTGTTGAGTTTATCATAACTAATCTTAATAATGTCTAGTTATGGTCAAAGTAATTTTTTTATCTTTCCCTTATATTATTTTATTTTCAACTTAAAGTGCGTATTTTGTGCTATATGTAAAGTTTTATGTGTAATCTAAGTAATTTGGTTTTAACACTTTATTTTTTCTGTTTTTTGCTTTCTTCTTTTTGAATTACTTACACCTGATTAAAGATCCCAATGCATGCATGGTACTAAAGAAGAACAGAAATATAATATAAAATGATAGTTAAAGAATTTTTTTGTTTTTGTGGATGTTTATGATTATTATTGTTTGTATTTATTTAAGGATTTTATTTTTTTCTCATAATATATAATTAAATAAAGAAATATATATAGAATATATGTAATTAAATTTTTAAAAATTGAAAGGAAAAAGAAGTTACATAGAAAAAATAATGCGTCTTAATTATTTAAAAATTCAAATTATGATTTGAAGATTATTTTATATACTTCCACCATAATCACTTTATGATTAGAAAAAAAAACTTAAATAAAAATAATTAAAAATAGGTAATTAATAGGAAAAAAGAGATGAAAACACATAAAAAAACATATAAAAATTAAAAACAAAAATACTTTACTTTTCTCAGTATAAATGTTACATTTTACATAATGTTTCGATAAAATATTAAAGTATTAAAGACAAACTAATGAAAATTGATTAATTTTATGTGTTGGGAACGGTAATTGATTTAAGTAAGAAAAATTATAAAACTGTACGTGGTTTTTGGTCTTGATTTAAAAATCAATAATCGAAATTGAATTAAGGTAAATTTCTTTAAATGCATTCAATTTTAAAATATACATTAAATGTGACAAAAGAGTTTTTATATTTGTATTAAAATATTCCGTTATTGAATAAAATCGTTTCTTATTTTTTTTTGTTAAATGTTGTTTCAAAATCCAATAATTTGTGCATTCAAAAATTCAAATTTCGATTTTTATAGACCTCAAGTAATATGATGATAAATAAAAAAAAAAATTAAAATTAATTTTTATGAAGAATAAAAAATAAATTATTCTTTTTTTAAAATTCATTAAATATAAAACAATTAATTTTTTTTTCATTTATATTATTTTCTTCTTATCATATTTGATTAGACTGAATTGCTTTCGTAAATTAATATATTCTTATATGCAAACATATAAAGAATTCATGTTACAAGAAAAACAAAGAAAAATCTAGTTTTTCAATAAAAATTTACAGACCCGAAATTTAACTTACATCAAATTTGGATTATAAAAAAATGAATTAACTACTTCTTTTCAGTTTATAATAACCATCTTCCAGTTTTTGTCAATGTTAATTTTACTGTTTTAATTTTTGTGATTTTATCAAATTACTTTGGTGATATAATAAACTAAAACACTTAGTATTTGTAAATGATTACTCACTTTAGTTAACAAAGGAATTTTAAAACCTTAATATTTTATATTTGGTCTAATAATTTTTAGGAAGAGTATAAAAAATCAATTATTTTTAAGTATTAACTAATATTTTCGATTTGTAAATGCAATTGATTCGAATTTCTTTACACACGACTTAATCAAAAATTACTTTTAAAATTTACTTGTATTTAAAATAGAATTATGTATGTATTTTACTTACATGAACTATTATGAACTATTATGTTTTTGTACAAATATGTTTTAATAAATTTTGTTTCATTCTTTTTTAGAAGGACGCAGTGCAGTACGGACAATGAACAATAGCTTTCTTCAATTCAAAATATAACAGAATTATCTCATTCCGATATTTCATTCACCTTTAGAAACACAATACTAAATGCTTGAGAAGTAAATCAAAATACTGTCAGCAACCACAACTTAACGTCCTTAATTTATAATTCAATGTATAATACATGTGTAATTTAAAACTGTACTATTGGATTCAAACTATGTAAGTAGATAATCTGTTCTTAAGTAAGTATTTGCTTTTGAAATATTCTTACTAATTTCTTCTTTAAATAAATTTACGGATAATGAATAACGACGATAAATAATGAATGAGCGCATTTTTAAACAAATAAATAATTTATAAAATAAAAAAAAATATCGTAAATTAATAAGAAAAAAGAAATAATTATGTTATAAAAAATTTATTTCTATTTAACATTAGTTTTAATTTTAACATAATAAGAACACAATATAAAAGTACAGCACAGCTTTAGTTGTTATTTTCAAACTTAATTCAAAATTAAATGCTTATTTCATAAGATTGTTGAATTTTTCAAAAATATAATTTTTTAAGTTTTTTTCGATTTTCATTGATTTATTTAAAACGTATACGACTAATAAATTACTAAATTTTCATTTTTCGTCTTACGAATTAGTTATAGGTTTTTCTTCATTGAAAATTTTCCTTCAAATTTTTCCTTTATTTCATTGGTTAGAATTTTGTTTGACTTTCCGAATAAAAATAATTTTTCTTTATTTCAATTTAAATTGAGTTAATTAGACTTCAGTAAATCTTGTGAGGGGATCATGAACTGTAGGAGATTCTCTAGAAAAATTGAAATGAATGAATTGTTTGTTTTCTTCTTTTATAATTTTTTTTTACTTTAAGTAAATTTAATTTATTTTAACGGTGAAATAATTGCAAAAATTTATGTTCATTGAACTACAAGAATGTTGATTTGTTGAAAATTTTATTTTACTGAATTCAGTGCTATGTTTTTACAATAATAATTTGTCAATTTGCTTAAGAAGTCAAAAGTAAATATTTTGTGGTTATTATTGCGATATGAAAAAAACGAAAATAATTTACGAAAAAAAAGTAGTTTTTTTTTTAAATAGTAAGATTAGCATGATTTGAAAAGAAAATCTATTTTATCTTTAAAATTCAACAATATGAAACAGTTTTAATTATAAAATATTTTATACAAAAAATAATCGTTTATAGCTGATTTTCTCTTTATATGTGTTATAAATGATTTTGTAAAATTGTGATCCTATTCGAAATTAAGCTTGAGATTTAAGTATTTATGCTTCTAGTGCCTTTAAATTGAAACTTTTATTTCAGTGTAATTCCATTAATGTCCAGTGCAGTACTTTTGAATATGTAAATATGTAATGAAAATTTATATTTTACTTGAAAATCTTCAAAAAGTTTATATAAAAATTAAAATTTAATTTCTTAAGAACTTGTAATTCAAAACGCAATATTTTATTAATTAATATTTTATTTTAAA